CACACACACACACACACACACACACACACACACACGACACTTTTTTTACTGTGACAAGGATCAGCAGTCTCACAGCTTCCTGTTCGTATTGTGAAGGAAGTTTCTGGGAAGGATCAGTAGGAATCTGTGAGAATGCCTCTGATATAAGAGTTTTTGCACCTGTGGCATCCTCACAAATTCCTGTTTTTTTTTTTTTTGACAATTAGACCAGTTGTCGTTTTATGCTTGTCATCCTTGTGCAGGGGTAAATGATAATCTTCAAACGGAAGTCCCGAAGGACACCCCACAAATTCTTTCCTTCTTTCTTTCTTTCTTTTATTTTTTTTTTAACATCTCTTGTAAGCACTACCGTCTTCCCCCGAACACAACGCACCCTTATTTTGGCTGTATCTGACTGGAAATATAGCTCGTATACATTCATTTTTAGGGTGTGTTATGTTCGGGGGAAGACGGTAGGCGGTGTTGATAAGGGCAATCACCGCTAGCACCCCAGAGAGCCTCCATCTAGGAAAGTGAGCGCCCAGGGTGGGGACAATTCTGGCCTGTGCATGCATTGCAGCCATGCTGCTGCAGTGTCCTGCGGAGAGCATGCTGCGCATGCACTGGCCCGTGCTGGGGCACATCGCCTGTGATGGTGCTGGTGGTCTTTGGGTGTCGGGGATGCACACTGTGGGGAGACAAGGGTGAGGCCAAGGGGAGAAGAGACACGTATCTGGTGTATGCTGGCAGTCTGCATTGGTGACGTCGTCACGGACATGGGGGGCTTCAGCTCGACGTGACTCTTGTTGCACATATGTAGTGTAGGCTAGTATAGGGCTGAGTAGGATAGGCACAGGGCGCTGAGCGCTAATAGAGAAGAGCGACATTGGATACACTGTTGGTGTCTAGGGAGAGAGTGTCGACAATGACATTCAGTTCATTGTACTGCTCTTATTTGGCTTGTATCTTAGTGCATTGTGCTTTCTGCGTGGTACACGACTATCTGGTCTTCAGCGTGATGTTGCAATTTGGTTTTCTGTCTATCGCTCTCGCTCATTTTTTTCCTTGCATGATTGTTTTTCTTGCTGTATGCATAGAACATCGAGTACAAGTTTTTGGAGCTGCTATCTTGCAATTTCTGCCCGTCTCCTGAGGAGATCGTCAGGAAACATATCACGTACCGATATAATCTCATCAAGGTAAAAGAACGAGATATTCACTCACTCCTCTACTTTATTTATTTATTTATATATTATACTAAAGCTATCAATCAGCTAAAAAAAAAAGAAAAAAAAAAAACAGTCAGACTCCCCTATCTCACTCATTGGCCGCTTTTCCTTGGGGAGACTGGGAGAGGGCGGGATGGAAAGGAGGAAAGGGAGGCGGGGGGGAAGCAGTGGGGGGGAAAAGAAGAGGGGGAGGGGGGGAAGGGGGGGGGACTAAGGAGCTCAAGGGACAATATTAAAATAATCATTCCTTTCTCTGTTCATCCTCCCTCCCCCTCCCCCCCGCCGCCGTCTACCTCTTTAAATTTACAACACCCTGTTCCTTAAGAGGCTGAATCATCTCATATATATACTTCGCACAATTTGTGTGTGTG